TAAATATGGAATTTATTTTGGTATAAAGGCATCAATGTAATTTTATTTTCTTCTCCATAATGGCAATTAGTCATCTTAATACCTTTTCCCACTTAATTTATGTATCATTTTTATCTTATACTGCATTATTCTTTTTGAGCATCTCTGAAAAATAAACTGGTTTATAGTTACTTTGTCTGACTTACGACAAAGCTACCCTATTTTAATCATCATGGCTTTAAAATAGGATCTAGTAACATACGGGACCTCTGTGAATGAAGCTCTGTTAAGAAACCAGTGCTCTTAAACGAACTTCACATATATTAGCATTTAGTCCTTAACAAAATATATGTGAATTATTATCCTCATACCACTGATGAGGAAGCTGAAGCAGAGAGATTAAAGATACTGAATCAAGGTGCTTATAAGTAGTGGTTCCCAAATTCAAACAAAAACAGGCTCCAGCCTCCACCTTCCTCACCAGTGGCCACTCCTGCCTGGTGGGGTCCTGAGATCTAGGACCCAGCAGTTTTCAGCACATATCATTCATTATCATGCATATGTATGATAGATCATGCATCTTTCTTCTCTGATCCTTTGGATATTTATCTGAATATTTTTAGTTATAAAAAGTATTTAGGTTTAAAACTTTTAAGTGTTTTTTATTGCCCATTGCCAGGTTTTTAAAAAACCACAGCTTCCAAATAGTGAAATTAGTGCATTGAGTTGTATTTTCATTGGTTAGTTTATTTCACAAGGTAATGTTTTCAGGAAGAGTATGTGGCTTCTTACAATGTCATGGCCTTATCATGTCTGAGACTACATTATTGTTAGGTTACTCATGAATACTAACTTGTTTGGGAATAAATTAGCGCCTATGGTTTTTACCAAGAAAAAAAAAAAGCCAAAAATAAAGAATTTGATTAATTATACTCTGATATACAAAAAAAATGGGAAATAAATTCCATATTCTTGTTCCATTATTCTTTTTACTTGTTTTCTGCAAAAATACATATAAATTTATTTTTGCATTTTATTAGTTTTGTTAACAGTTTCATCTAAGATCTATCTAGGGTTGTTTCTTTTTAAAACTATTTTGCCTCATTTCCAGTGAGTCATTTTGCAAACCCAAGTCCTTATTTAGCTTAGAGAACTATTATTATTAAATTGATTGTTTCCTTCAGCTTATTGTGTCCTTTTAAAATTCCTATTAGAAGTAATATTGTATTCCTCTTTCTCCACTTTGTCATTTATTTCATTCTTTCTCAGACAAATTCGTTGTCACTTTATCACTTTCCCCTTACTTCATTTGCTCACCAGGTATTTATTAAGAATCTGCCCTGTATCAGATATTATAATAGGCGCTGGGAATAGAGGGGTGAAAGTCTCGGACAGAGAACCTTTTGTAGAACTGATTATTGAACAGGGAAAACAGATGAACCATAGAGAACAAGTCACCATAAGCAAAATAACACATAAGCAAGTCGCCAATAAGCAGCAGATGCACCAAACAGAACAAGTCACCATAAGCACCGTACTAGAGGACATTTCTTACACTGTTACCAGCACAACAGTCTCTCATGTCTATACCAACTGATCTATCTATAAATTAAGCAGAAGGGAACGGGGCTCCTTTGCCAGGCCCAGGCTCCCTGTAATGTTTCTGTGGTTCCCCCTTTGCCTACTTAGTCCTTCCATTTTATTAATATTTTCTGTTAAACTAACTGATGTACTTGCCATTTTTCTGATACATCCTGACTGATATGCCTGTCTTGTTGTTCAGTGTTCTGCAATATTCGATATGCTATTTACAGTCTCCATATTTATTTATATATTTCTAAATCAGCAGTTATGTTTTTTCTTCATAGTGGCAGTTTCTTGATCTCAGATGTTATCCTATTTATAACTCTCTACTCTAGATTCTCAGTTGCTATTTCCTTTTGACTTTAAAGAACTAAAATTAGAAATTATCTAAAAATATGCCTCTTGCTTCATGTCTTTTTAGAGGAAGAAATCTATTTTCAGTTCTGTGGTTTGTTTCCTTGTAGTATATTTCTTGTTATATGGCTAAGGATGTTTTCCGTACTATTAGAAGTCGGATCAGTTCCTGTCTGTTTCTTTCAAGCCTTGGAGCTCATATACGTGATTAATGTGTTCAGATTGCCTAGTCAGAAAGAAATTAGACTGGGTGCCCTATGGTGAGAATCATAGCTATACCACTGTGTCTAAAAAGTTTATTTCCATAATTTCTACTATATCTGCTAGCTAACTGAAATTTTTTGGTGAGTTTACCCTCCTTAGGATTCAGAAGTTTCCCCTCCTTAGTAGTCAGTGTCTTGGTACCAGTATCAGCTATAAGCCAGAACTAGGACTCCATGATACTTGGGTTTCTCACTTGGTGTAATGATACCTGATCATTACAGGTCCCTAACAGGTCAGTGGCCTGTTACCACTGTTGAATCCAGATATATATAGTGCCCTGTTATTCCCTGTCCTTCAACCACTACCTTTCATTGTCATTCTTTTTATGTATACATTTGGGAGGGAAATGTGTGTCTCACTAGGACTCTTCCAATGATTTCAAATGTCATTTGGAAACAGCAGCAGTTTGGATTGGTCTTTCTTCTACCCCATCTTGGCTTTGTGAGATCTATTAGAAGTTCCTCAAAGTTTCTAGTTTATGGACAATACCCTTTCCTATGTCCCACTGTCAATACAGTTCACACACATGCACACTCACACACACACACACACGTGTAAATTATATATACATGTGTGTATATATGTATGTATTTACCTATTTTACTAAGAGGCTGGAATGGGGAGAAAAAAATCACATATAAACAAACAAACGAAATAAGCTATAACAAAAACCACAACTTCTAGCCAGGCACAGTGGCTCATGCCTGTAATCCAAGCACTTTGGGAGGCCAAGATAGGAGGATCACTTGAGCCCAGGGGTTGGAGACCAGACTGGGCAGCAAAGCAAGAAGTGAGACCCTGACCATTTCTACAGAAAATTTGTTTAAAAATCCACTGGGTGTGATGTCACAAACCTGTAGTTCTAGCTACTTGGAAGCTGAGGTGGGAGGATAGCTTGAGTTTGGGAAGGTCAAGGTTGCAATGAGCTAAATACCACGGCACTCCTGCACTCCAGCCTGGGTGATGGAGTGAGGCCTTATCTCTAAAACAAAACAAAACAAAACAGCTCCTTCATCAGCAAACTGACACCTCATACGTTAAAGTCACTCTCACTCCGTGATAGACTAATTGTGATATAGTTCTGATAAATAACCAAGTCATATGGAGGAGAGATTTTTGACCCAAAGATCCCTTGTGAGACAGCAGAGGAGAATTTTGCGGGAAACGTGAGATTTTTCATTCTGGATTTATTCACAATAACTTCACAGTTTTGTTGTCAGCTATGTGACCTTCATCATACTTGGAGTCAAAAGTCCTGAATCAAATGGGCTGTGGCAATTTACAGTTCCCGGATAGAGGGAAACTGGCTTTAAAACTCAGGGGACGGCAGAGAAATGAGAGAACGGATCTTGTCACCCACCTGCAGTTTGAGCCGTTTTAAGATCTTTTGCCTTATATATAATCATGAAGACCTCCAAATATGTAGCACTGCTACTAACAAAAGACATTGGTTGCCTCTGGGAGGGAAAGCATTAAGAGTAGAATGCAGAGGAAAGTGAATACATGGCTTGCTGTGCTTGTTATTCATTGAGTGTTTTTGACTTGCTAAAAGCAAGTTTAATGTATTTATACAATTTATAAAGATGTAACCGATTCTGGAGCTCTCCTCCTTACAGGGAACATATTTCATGTTATTGTAAGCACTGAAGAAAATTAAATCAATAAATTCACAGCCCATAATTTGAGATACTCAATTTGAAGAAAAATGTATTGTCAGGGAGGGAGAGCAAAATCTTTTGTGTTGAGGAAGACTTGTAAACAACCTGTCTTTGCCCTACTATCCTGTGCTTCCAAGTGACAGCAAGAATTACCCTCGTGCTGCAAGATTATCAAAGAGTTGTCATGACACCTCCAGAGAAGTAAAGGCCAACTCCCCACCTTTTTTTTTTTTTTTTTTTTTTTTTTTTTTTTTTTTTTTTTGATGCAGCTTGTGCTCAAGTGGAAAGCAATGCAATTGACCCTTTCTGCACTGTCCATCTATGTCCTTTTCCCTGAGAAGGCTTTGCTGGTTAGCACTCAGCCAGGGTGTCAGGGAGCTCAGTGTACTGTTCCCCATCACTGGCACCGATGCTCTCTGTGACCACTGGCAAGCCAATTAACCTCTACAAGTGTCATTCTTCCGTATGTAAAAGGTTAATAGTACAGCTTGTTTGCAAAGTGCCTGGAGTCTTCCATGAAGGGCATTAACCAAATAGCCAGCATTGCTGTCTGACTGGAGGGCATTGTGTTTTATAATTATATGTTTGGTTGGATAGGTTATAGATTTCGCTGTGGTTGAATGTTGCCCCTTCTCCCTGGTTACAAATAAAAAGACTAATAGGTAATCTCACCCTATTAGCATCTTCTAGAGCCCCCCAGAGGGCTAAGGGAATGGCAGAGGTTACAGATTAATAATGTATCCTTTAGTTAATAGAAAAAAAACATGTGCATCTCAACTGCATAATAGCTGTGGATGGCAATTTATTAGGCCAAGTGTTTCATCAGATGCTCAGCAGATAATGCTGGCAAAGACTCATGAAACAATGAGGTTGTTCTGTTTTGTTTTGTTTTCTACTTTCCTAGTTATTTCTTTCATCCTTCATATTAATATAGAACATCAGAGACTGTTTTGTCCAGGTTATTTCACATGCATTTATAACTATTTGGAAAAATGATTCTTTTATTCTGGAATTTCTGAAGCAAGTGACTTATATGGGTGTGTCTTCATTGTGACATTAAGCTTTTTTTTTTTTTTTTGTACTTGGACCAAATTTGAATAACACTGGACTTGAGGCAAAGTATCACCTATCTCATGCTTGCTTTTTTTTTTTTTTTTGCAGATTTACGGAAAAACTTTGAACAAGACCCACAAGGAAGGGAGGTTCCCATTGAAGGCATGATTGTGCTGCACTGTCGCCCGCCAGAGGGAGTCCCTGCGGCTGAGGTAAGACAGGCTCCTGGGAACCCATGTCTGGGATTCTTGTTGCCTGGGCTCAGTTGCTAAAGATAATGAAGACATTGTCAAGGAAATAAGCTAGGAAGAAACTTGTCTCCCGTTCACTTCTGTGTTTGCACAAGGCCCTTGTAGGCAGCCTGGGTAGGATTTAATCTGTGTTCTTGGCTCTGGGGACCTTGAATCATGCAGATGCCATTCGTTCTGTCTTCAGTCAGGATCCTCTGACATGCACATTGGCTTAGGAGCAAATCTGAGCTTTAACAGGCAAACATGCATGAAAAAGCCCATAAGAAAGGTCAGAAGTCCTCAGTCCCAGTGTCACTAGTGTTTGTTCATTCTTGACTTTTTTGTGGAACAAGCATTAATTTATCGAGTGTTTGTTACATTCTCTGCACTGTACAGGCATCAGGGATATAAAACCTGATGAAGCCACGGGTCTCTGCCCTGATATCCTTCCTTCACAGCGAGGTGTCCAGAATCCAGAGTCACCATATTTTTTGCTTCTTGAATGTTTTCTAGAACATCTACCACACTATTTGAATATAATATTCCCTGGTGTTACACTATGGTTATAGGAAAAGCTTTCTAAATTTTTTATTCACAATGAAAAGATGGCCCTGATAGACAAGTAATATAGCTATTATTGGAGGAAAAACACTAAGAAGTATAAGGCATGCTTAGTATAATGAAAAGTTTATGGACTTAGTCCTGTGAACCCCGAAGATCTGAAACAGATCTTAGTTAATTTAGAAAGTTTATTTTGGTCCTTGAGGAATCGCCACACTGTCTTCCACAATGGTTGAATTAATTTACATTCCCACCAACAGTGTAAAAGTGTTCCTATTTCTCCACATCCTCTCCAGCATCTGTTGTTTCCCAATTTTTTAATGATCGCCATTCTTACTGGTGTGAGATGGTATCTCAATGTGGTTTTGATTTGCATTTCTCTGATGACCAGTGATGATGAGCATTTTTTCATATGTTTGTTGGCCTCCTGTATGTCTTCTTTTGTAAAGTATCTGTTCATATCCTTCGCCCATTTTTGAATGGGCTTGTTTGTTTTTTTCTTGTAAATCTGCTTTAGTTCTTTGTAAATTCTGGATATCAGTCCCTTGTCAGATGGGTAGGCTGCAAAAATTTTTTCCCATTCTGTTGGTTGCCGATTCACTCTACTGATTTGTAGGGACATGGATGAACCTGGAAACCATCATTCTCAGCAAACTGACACAAGAGCAGAAAATCAAACACCGTATATTCTCACTCATAGGTGGGTGTTGAACAATGAGAACACATGGACACAGGGAGGGGAGCACTACACACTGGGGTCCGTTGGGGGGAAATGGGGGAGGGACGGGGGGTGGGGAGGTGGGAAGAGATAGCATGGGGAGAAATGACAGATACAGGTGAGGGGACGGAAGGCAGCAAAGCACACTGCCATGTGTGTACCTATGCAACAATCTTGCATGTTCATCACATGTACCCCAAAACCTAAAATGCAATAAAAAAAAAAAAAAGAAAGTTTATTTTGGCAAGGTTGAGGACACGCACCCATGACACAACCTCAGGAGGTCCTGATGACATGTGACCATTGTGGTCAGAGCACAGTTAGGTTTTACACATTTTAGGAAGACATGAGACATCAATAAACATGTAAGATGAACATTGGTTCGGGTCTGGGAAAAGCCGGACAACTGAAAGCAAAGGTGGGAGAAGAACTCTGGAATCAAGGAGGGGGCTTCTAGGTCACAGGTAGATAAGTGACAAATGGTTGCATTCTTTCGAGTTTCTGATTAGACTTTCCAAAGGAGGCAATCAGTTATGCATTTATCTCAGTGAGCAGAGGGGTGACTTTGAATAGAATGGGAGGCATGTGGCCCTAAACAGTTCCCAGCTTGACTTTTCTCTTTAGCTTAGTGATTTGGGGGCCGCACGGTTTATTTTTCTTTCACAGGCCTGAGTTCAGCGGCACGCGGTGCAGGTTTGATTCTTCTGTAGGAAGCTAGGGCACTGCTTGGAGCTATTGTTGATTCACTGAGAAGCAGATATACAAAGAAAAAGAAAAAAAAAACCAGGAGCCTTTGCCTCATATTTTAGTAAAATTGGGATTTTGTAATTGGAAGGACAAAAAAGGAGAGAAAATAAAAGGGAATGAAAAAACACACATACTTCCATATTTAGAGAGCGGGCTGGATGGACACTATTCAAAGCTCAAATGGCTCACAGAAATGAAGTAAACGGACTTGAAAATTAAAGTGAACCCTCCATGCATGATAAAAAATGATTAGAAAGGAAAACGCTTATTTAAAACAAAAACAATATTGATCTCTTCCTTTTGCTGCCCTCTTGTTTCCTGCAAACAGTGTGCCCTCCTTTCCTGAGCAGGGCATTAAATGTCAGGGAAGGGAATGTGTCCCTCTCATTTAGGAGGTCGCATGTGTTCCTGGGAGCCCAGCAGTGGTATCAGCAGTTCTCTACATTCACTGTCCATCTTTCAAAAACCCAAGTTTACAAATGTTTTATGCATTCAAGTGTCCAGCCTCTGTCATGCCAGCTGTGTGGGAGTCCCCTGGTACACCCGTGTTTCCTTCTGGTTCTGTTCAGGGTCACTACCCTCAACTTTGGCAGCAGCGGAGAGGGGTGCTAATGTTTTCCAGAGCTATCAGTCTATAGGAACCTAGCATACTCCAGATCTCTAGTAATCTGTTTTTATTTCAGATGGATGATAACTTAGATATTTATTGGCATAACTTTTGCATTTTTGAAGCAGAGAAGCTGATGCTTATATCAGTGACCTACCAAAGTTCTTGCAGTCATTCTAGGGCTCTGTTCAAAATTCTTCAAACTCCAAAGCACTCCAGGTAAAAGTCTATGTTCTTTTAGTGCTTTATAAGATTCAACATGATCTGGCCTGGTGTGACCTTATTTATTTATTTATTTTAACTCTGTACCTGACCCCACTACAGCCACCCTGCCCCTTCAGTCTCTCTCAGATGCACCAGCCATGCTCCCACCTCAGGGCTTTTGCACGTGCTGGCCTTGGCTGGAGGGCTCTTCCCCAGCTGTCACACTGCTTTGTCCCCTCTTTCTTCAGGGCTTACTCAGGTATCACCTGCTCAGTAAGGCCTGCTCTGTACACTCTACAAATGTTACCAATATCTGCTTCCCCCACTCTACCTTTCCCTCCTGTTTCCCAGCAATTTGTCTTAGTAGGTATATACTTTCTTTTTACCTCTTATCACAAGCATACTATATTCACATTATTTATTTCTCTCTACCCCACTGGAACTTAAGTGTAGTGAGGGAAATTTGTGTTTACTCCTCTTCATTGCTGTATCCTCAGAACATGAAACAGGGTTTCTCCATGTTGGTCAGGCTGGTCTCAAACTCCCAACTTCAGGTGATCTGCCCTCCTCGGCCTCCCAAAGTGCTGGAATTGCAAGGCATGAGCCACTGTGCCCAACCAAAAAAATAAATTTTAAAAGCATGCTTCTCACATCCAGTTGTTCAATAAATATTTGTTGAATATGAATGGAAATTAGTCTGCTAATTATATTGATGAATATTTAAGTTTATACCAGGATTAGCCCTAGACAAAATGTAAAATACATTAGACAACATTTTGACTTTGTTTTATTTTGTCTTATGATTGGGTACTAACAAGTAAACATTCCCCACCTGCTTTTTTCATATATGCAAAAATAAATTTATTGGCTCAATCACTAGTCCTACAACTAAAGAAATAAAGATATATTTTCACTTCAAGTCTGATTCGCTTTTAATATTAAAGAACACCTCAATGCAATATTTAGACATTTGGCTGATTGTTAAACATTAACTAAAATGGAGCTTTTGCTGAGAGAGTGTTGCCATGTTTTTAAATTAATAGACATTTTGTGAAACCATTTTGAATTAACATAAAAGTTGAAGTAGTACTACAGAAGGTTATCATGTACTGTTCCCCCTCTGCTTCCTTTTTTAAATTTTTTTCTTTTTTGAGATGGAGTGTCACTGTGTCACCCAGGCTGGAGTACAGTGGTGTGATCTTGGCTCACTGCAACCTCTGCCTCCTGGGTTCAAGTAATTCTCCTACCTTAGCCTTCCGAGTAGCAGGCACCTTTAGTGCCTGCCACCACACCTAGCAGATTTTTGTACGTTTAGTAGAGATGGGGTTTCACCATGTCGGTCAGGCTGGTCTTGAACTCCTAACCTTGTGATCCACCCTCCCAAAGTGTTGGGATTACAAGCATGAGCCACTGGGCCTGGCCCAGTTTCCTTTTTTGTAATCACACCTTACATGAGTGTGGTATATCCCTTACAATGGCCAAATCAATACTGATATGTTGTTATTAAGGAGAGCCTAGAGCAGGCGTCCCCAAACTTTTTACACAGGGGGCCAGTTCACTGTCCCTCAGACCGTGGGAGGGCCGCCACATACTGTGCTCCTCTCACTGACCACCAAGGAAAGAGGTGCTCCTTCCTGAAGTGCGGTGGGGGGCCGGATAAATGGCCTCAGGGGGCCGCATGCAGCCCACGGGCCCCGTAGTTTGGGGACGCCTGGCCTAGAGTTTGCATTAAGGTTCACCCTGTGCTGTTGTCTGTGGCTTTCTTTAAATTTTGTTTCAAATTCAGGAGTAGGTGTGCAGGTTTATTACAAAGGTAAATTTCATGTCACCAGAGTTTGGTGTACTGACAGGTTACTTTCTCACCCAGGTGATACACAGTACCCCACAGGCAGCTTTTTTGAGTGTGCTCCTCCTCCCACCCTCTCCCTTCAAGTAGAATGCGGTGTCTGTGTTCCCTTCTGTGTGTCCACGTGTTCTCAGTGTTCAGCTCCCACTTTCTGCCCCCACTGCTTGTTGAAGACATAAATTTAGAAGAAAAAAGAAAAAAAAAAAAAAGAACAAAAGAGAGAAGAATAAAAGATGTACAGTCTGGTAAGATGGTAGCCAAAAGCAAAAATATATTTTGGTCCATAAATGCACACATGA